AATAGACCACTGTTCTCCTCAGTCAGAGCGCAAGATCCTTGAGGGCCAGGGCAGACTATGAAACAGTCACTCAATACGAACTTTTTAGGTAATTATGTTACTTCCCATTGAGTGAAGGAGGGTGGGGGAGGGTGTGGAGAAGCAGGGAAGTGATGGCATGTGATGTCTGTGTGATCTAGGAGACTAAATCTGCTGATTGATTAGTTCCCTCATCTGTAAGATGAAAGGGTTGGCCTTGGTAAAGATCCCTTCCAGCTGAGAAATTTTATCATTCTAGCTTGGTCCAAAACCCAGTCAGTTGATAGGGCTTCTCCTACTTCACAGGCTTCTGTAAAGTGACTTTTGTGCAAAGATCCAAAGTCTGGTTTCAAAGTGTAAGCAGCCACTATTACCGGAAAACTAGTTAATAACTTCAGCAGATAGGCCCAATGAACACAAGCTTGGACAGACTTCAAGAGATAGTGGAGGATAGAAGGGCCTGGTGTGCCATGGTCCATGGGGTCATGATTGAGCAAAAACAGTAAAAGATAGGCCCCAAGCCTACATGAACTTTATTCTCAAATTGTCAGGGCCCTGAGGACAGTAGCTGATACATTCTGAGAAGTGATTATAAGGAATGGATTCTCTTACCTTCACTAGAGTGAAAAAATCTTATTAAGATTCCAGGCCTATCAGTTTCACACATTTAAAAAAAAAAAAGCTGAATAGTTGATCCTAATACTGTAGTCAAATGATTTTTAACTAAGTATTTATATTATTCTATATTTTTACTTTAAAAACCCCAGAAAACAATAACAAACAATGAGGCGCCCTTCCAAAGAATGCCCTAAAATCAGCTCATACTGCCCTTCCTTAGGTTAACTTGTCCCCAGCAAGCATTCCCTCACCCCCCAAAACAAAAACAAAACATAGAGGGCCCTGGAGCTCTGGTTCTGACTTCTAACAACTCAGAACTGGAGCCCTGGTTGTTGACAGTTTTTTTAAGCTAAAGTAGCTGCTGCCAGCATAAACATGCCAGTGTCTTACAGGTTTCCCATCCACACAACCACCAACCAAATCATTCAACAAGGCTTTGTCAAATTCTTCTAACCAGCTGCCTTCCAAGATTTTAAAGCCACTGAAGATAAGTGAGGTCAGCTCACGGGAAAAGAAAAAAAAAGTACCCTTGAATATGCCAGTTTCCATTAAACAGAAAGGTTTAAAATATAGCATACAAAACTTAGGAAACGGTGCTTCTATCAGCCAAAATGGATGTTTTCAGTATAAGTATATTTAATACAATAATGACTAATACAAGGTCTTGTATGACTTAGGACTAATACAAAGGTCTTAGTGTAGTTTTCAGCTTTTAATAAATTAAGAAGTGTAAATGCTAAAAACTTATAAAAATCATTTGAATGGTTAATTATTTACAATTTTTAAAATGTTGGTATTACAAAATGTTGGTGTTACTTATTAAAATTAAACATAACTGCCCTCTTGTGCTAACCAGTGTTTCTAGTCGATTTGCAAATTTTGTCAAAGTTTTCATTAGCTGCTGCTCAGTGACAAAAGGGTTTGAATGTAATTCTAGCCTTAAGATCATCCAAAGATAGATTATGAGGCTTTGATGCATGTGTAATAGTTTTGACAAGACATCACAAGAAAAAGTTCAGTGGAGATAGACCAGGTGATCAAGGTGATCAATCAATATTCATGAAACTATCACATACTCAATGCATAATGGTAAGTTGCCCCATCTTGTTAAAGTTAAAATTAAATATTTATTACTCAAAATTCAGAAAACCAAATAAGTGTAAAAGAAATTTAAATAATTAAACTTTGAAATGATTTCTTTTGTAAGTTTGTAGCATTTGTACTTCTAAAGGCGCTAAAACTTAAAACTGCACTAAGACTTTGGGGACTGCTGTATAATGGGATCTTGAAAACTAATGCTTGTTTTATTTCTTTAGAAATTGTACTTTTTAAGGCTAGAGATTTTTCCTTCTAATGGATTGAATTCACATAATTTCTGTCATTTTGAAAAACTTAAAAAGGCTTTAGTTCAACCCAGGTTTCATTTTCTGGTTTTTGTCTAGCACTTGGGGCATATGGGGTGGGTCAAGGGAAGATTATTCAAGGAACATGGGAAGAAGCTGAGACTTTGGCATGTAACGATAGTGCAGTCCTTACTTTCCTCCTTCAAAGAGACTCTATGAGGGGCAGCGAGGTGGCGCAGTGGCGAGAGCACCAGTCCTGGAGTCAGGAGGACTTGAGTTCAAATCCAGCCTCAGACTTGTGATACTCACTAGCTGTGTGACCCAGAGTTACTTAACCCAATTGCCTCAAACCACCCCCCCCCAAAAAAAAGAGATCCTATGAAGAACTGTAGGATATCATTGGTTGGATTTGTGTGGAGCCCTGTCCCATACCTGGAATGGACTGCTTCCATGTCTCCAACTGCTGAAAACCTTCTTTTCCTTTTACCTGGGCCCAGCTCAGGTATTGTCAGTCTTCCCCAATTTCCCAACTAGTATTTGTTCCTTCCCTTTCCAACTACTCTGTTGAACTTCAAGGCACTTACCACATTCTATCCTGAATATCATTTGCATGTATTTCATCTGCCGTCTATAAGCTACTTTGAGAGCACGGGCTATTTTTGTATTTTCCAAGTGCCCATTTGCCTTAAGTGACATACACTTGAAAAAAATCTTTTAATTTCACTGGAGTTACCAGGCTTGAGAAGCAAGGGTTTCCAAATTTATAGAAGCAACTGTTTTGAGTTTTTTTTCTCAGCAACAAAAATTACATCCTAAGATCATAGATTTAGAACAAGTAGGGTCCTCGAAGACCATTAACTCCAAGAAAAATGACATGCCCACAGTCCCATAAATACTAAGAGAACCAGCAGTTGACCTAAGATTCAGTAACTCCAAATCCCAAGCTCCTTCCACTGCACCAAGCTGTATAGGTCTTTAATGAGATAACACCTGTAAAGTGCTTTGCAAACCTTATAGCATGGTAGAAATTCTAGCTACAAATACTATCTTCATTGTCTGGTGAGGCTATGGGAGGTTAAGTGCCTTGCGCAAAATTATACAGCAAGGAATGTAATGTCAAATCCAGGTTCTCCAACTTCAAGTTAGAATAAATAGCATCTGAAATAGTATTCCTATGGTATGTTGAATTTGGATTTGGCATGCAAAAAAGTAGTGGGTATATTCCAAACGACTCAGGATGAAACATATTACTCACTTCCTGACAAGAGGTGGTCTTGAGACAAAATTACAGACATAAAATTTTTGGACATGCTTTTGATTAGGCTTAAGTTAACAGTTTCCCCCCCCCAATTATTTTTGGGGGGTGGGGGGAAGGAAAGAAGAAAATAATTGTTGAATAATTTTAAAATGTTTTTAAAAATATACATATACATGTGTATATATACTATATGTGTATGTGTATATATATGTATATGCGTATGTTAGGTATCTTGCAATTGCCTACCTTTCCGCCAGGATGCCCCACTAGTACCTCAATTTTAAAACTTAAAACTGAGCTTATCTTTTCCCAAAAACTTTCCCCTGCCAATTGTCAATAGCACCCCCTTCACCCAGTCTCCTATATTTATAAGCTGGGAGTTAAATTGCCTCTCCCTCACCTCTCACGTCCAATCAATTACCTGTTAATTCCACCAAAAACATCCACATTTTCTATTCCCAAAGCTGCAACCCTAGTACTGTACTTGTGCCCACTTCTACTCTATCTTCATTCCCAATGTCTTTCATGCTTCCTTTGATCCTAGATCTCTGCTCAAGTACTACTTTTAATTCTTCATTCTTCCTGGCATGGAAGTGACCATGGGTTCTTCAACTCTGGCAAGTTCTATCAATCTGGAAAGGCTGATTTAGGCCTAATGGCAATGACAGTGCTACTCACTGAATAGCCTGCTTAAGGCTAGATAGTCATCATCTGGTGCTTATCCACCAAATAGTCTTTAAATTTTTGACCACAACTCCCTAAATAAATGAAGATGAAACATACCACTTACCTCCTGACAAAGAAATGTACTTAATAATGTAGAGACATACACTTTTAGAAATGATTAATGTGGATTTTTTTTTTGCCAGAGTATGTAGATACATATTGGGGAATTTTGTTTTAATTTGCACAATTGGGAGAGGCCAAATCAATTAAAAAAAAACTTCCTTGAAAAAATTTTAACAATGGTGACATAAAAATGGCAAAAAAATTTGAGGTACAAAATCTCATCACTTGGTTCACAACGCCTGCTGCAACAAGCAGCTCAGTACTTTTAACTTTCCAATTCATTTTGACCCATTGAACAGCCCCTCCCAGAGCAGTCACTCTCCCAGCCTTTACCCAAATATTTTTCCTCCCACAAATTCAACGAAAACTCTTTTTACTTAGCATGGCATTTGCTTTGTAGTACTCTTCCTAGCTCCACATTCCTTGACAGTCAGCCTGCCCTCAGACTGATCTTTAAAGGTCCCTTCAGCTCTGGAATCATGTCTGAAAGTTCCCACTAGGTTGATTTTACTTCCCATGCAGCCATTCTGGGATTTAAGCTCCTCTGGTTTTCCCTTTCTCTACCAAGCCAAACCAACTGCTTCTTCCCAAGCTACTCAAGAATACCAGGACATCTGAAATGAGAAAGCCCTTAAGGGTCATCCAGCTCAACCCTCTTTTTTTAATGAAGAAACTATCAGACAGATGAAATGACTTGCCCAAGTACATATAACTAGCTCCCTAACTATCCTTGGCATCTTGCCTGAACTGAAGAGAACAAAGCTTCTACTTGTGAACTGAGGACACATCAATTCTTGTCAATGGAATACAATATATAGTTTAAGAAATACCTTGAGCTACATATTGCCCTTACCTGACACAGAAACATATCTATATCTATATCTATCTATATATATATATATAAAAACTTTTCCCTATTATTCAAGCATATACCTTGATAACCTCCTCCCCCTCCAAAAAAACAAAAACTAGGCACAGGTTCAAAAAGCATTTATTAATCATTTACTTCTACTATTTCTGCACAGATGTCAGGCACCATACAAAAAGAATGGTTAGTCAAAAGTATAGTAACCACTATTAAAATTAGATTGTTGCAAAGCATTAACTCCCCTCCCCCATCACCATTTCCGAGCCATGATTCCCTCAACTGGGAATACTAACAATTGCATTGCCTACACAACAAGATTTCAAAACAAGTGCCACATAAATGTGAATGCTATTAACAGTCAGCTCATCCATGTCAATGTACATCACTGATGTACATATATAAAATGCAGATTAATCTAACCAGAAGGGTGTTATGACCTCCACCCAATATAAAAGCAGGATTGGGATGGGTGTGGAGAAGTAAAGCATAAACCCCAGTATAGTCCTTGTACCCAGCCAAAGTTGAGTAAAAAGTTTATAATAGATAAGCTTTCCTGTCCTGGGTAGAACAAGGCAGTTTCCCTGCTGTACAGCTGGATTGGAACTTATGATATTGGGAAATATAGCTAACCATGACATTCAGAAGAGGATTTAGACCCTGAAGATGATTAACCTGTTCCCTGAATATTTCCACTTAGGATCAAAGGTTTTCTCTATTATATTTGAAGCATTTAAGACATGACAAGTGAGATACAGGTGAAATCAGGGTGGCGAAGGTTTGGAAGAGGCAGGAGTAAATGAGTGTTCATTCTGATTTTTTTTGTGTCAATATTTATTTGAAACAATCTTGTGGAAAGGTAAGTTAACTGTAGTCTGCTAAAGAACAAAGGAAAAAGAGGTACAGAATTACGGCAGTCAGCAGATCCTAAAGAGATTGAATATGATGCCTTTCCTTTACATTTCTTTTTCTGGGGTATCTTAAGAAAAATCAGTCTTTAAGTAAGATGGGGAGAAGTAAAAGTTATTAAATGGCAACAGGTAGAAATCTGAAAAGGGCCAATGCAAATTCCACAGGTCAAACAATTCTCACAGGCCTAATACTGGGAGGGGGACGGGACTATTGGCAAACAGACTTAAGACAAATGCAGACCTGCATTTGTATGAGTTTCTTCACCGGGAATTCCCTATATTAGTAAGAACAAGAGGTCCAGCCCCCATCCTTATCCTATTGGCCAAACTACAGTACAACTACTTTCAAATGATTCAGGGGCCTACCTATACAACACTCATTAAAGACAGCGTGACCCTTTCTAGCGAATCACAAAGTTGGAAGGGGTTATCCAGTTGAATTCTCTCCAGGGGAACTAGAAAATAAATGTTAAAGGCAGATCTACAGTTATCAAGTCATAAATTCGGAGGTCCCAAGTTTAAAGTTGCACCAGTGACACTTCTAAAACCCCTGAGATTTGTGAAGTTGCTACTAATGTAATAGAAGATGCTTCTAATGTAACAGCCTTCCCCTAGCAGGAGGAGGATGGGTCAACACTGAAATGAGGTTTTCCTTAAGAAAGCCCAATGAATTCCAGTGCATTCTCCCTCTATGAAAAAGCTTAGCAACAGCAAAAGAGCAGACTAAGGATTACTTGAGGATTGGCTGGCATCTTCTCCTTTAGTACCTATAACCTTAGTGCCTGCCTCACTGTACCCAAGGCAATGCTAAGCATAGTGGAAGCTCAATAAATATTGGATTGACTTTAGCTATCTGTACATAATACATTTCCATGCCTGTAAATGGCATGAAGCTGTTAGGCTTTAAACATCAAGGACACTAGAAACCACTCTGCAAAGTAAGCGAGACATCAAAAGTCGGTAATGTAGGGGACCCCTGAGAAAAGGCCAATAGATTAACATGTGCTACTTAAGTGTTCGGAGAAATTACTCTTCTTCCTCCCCTTACAGTGCCCACAATGCACATTTTCTAAAGGCTCTGGGGACTATTAACTTCCAAAGCAACATGTTTAGAGCAACTGGCTTTTTTGGACTATTTATTTAAAAAGCATGAGCCAAAGGGAAAGATACAAGCTAAGGAACGCTTATGTTAAATAGTCTTTTCTTTCAAGTGACTATCCCTGTACTAGAAGTAACAAGGTATTCATAAGCACCTGAGTTCTGTCAGCTGGTTCTGTTCCACCAAGAGTAACTCAAAGAATCCCAAATGGCTATATCAGCAACATTATTATGCGAAAACCCATCTAGACAGGGCTATTTTAAGGATGCCCATTACTTCCCAATGCTTCACTGATGTTTACAATAATAAAGCCCTAGAGAATGCTACATAGAACTATATACAATTGTTAACTCCTTTCTTTAAGGAATTTTCTTCAGCACTAAAACCATTTAGGAAGCAGTGTAGCATTCTCCAGCTTACCAACTAAAAGGCACAAAAAAAGCTGTACTCACTAAATGAGTTAGTATGAAATAAGAGATAAGAATATTCACTCTTAGGATGAGCTTTCAGTCTGTATGAAGCTAGATTCTCTAGGCTCCAAAAAGATTGAAGTACCATACCAAATACTATACAGAAATAATTTAAAATATTTATACAAGAATGTAATTGCAGCATGGCTAAAGCTTCACATTCTACAGTAAGGGCAATTGAACTGCCAACCTAGCTATCGAATATGAGCTTATTTCTTTTATCCTATCCATTTATACGGTAGTTTTCATGTATTTCTGGATGGATGTCACACACAAAAGCCAACAGGTTTTCCAGGACTTCCTCCCTGTTCTTCTCGAAGTGATTCTGGAGGACAGTCATCTTCTCCAAAGTTTCCTTCTCTATTTCAGAGCTGCAACTGCCATGGCTACCAAGAGCCTAGTGGGGAGGGACAGAGAACAAATGTCAAGATTATAGGAAAAGTATCTAAAAAGTATGTTGCTTAGTCTAAAGAGAAACCCAATTTCACCAATAATATAAATAATTCAGCAATAAGCATTTTTAACAAACGCTTTCCTTCTACAAACAGTAATGCTTCCAGCTTAATACCTTAGTATCAGATACCAGGGGAGCTTGGGATGTCTAAAATACGAATGCACCAAAAAATACACATAGCAATGATAAACCTGTATGGTAAGAGGTTTCAGTTTCTACAGTTAAGCCTTCTTATTCTACATGAAAATATTCAAGAAATAATAAAAAGATGTGACTATCTTTCCAGTTACACACCTCAATCCAGCCAATGACAAAAAGATCCCTCTCACTTTGTGACAATTTCAAAACATCATCCTAATAAGTAAGGTCCCAGATATAAATCATAATCCTAGCAACATCAATTACGCATCAACTTTATATGAACTTAATGACCAACTTCTGGGGGACAAGAATGATTCCTATATAGGACAACCATGCTTCCGACAGCTTGATATACTCAATGTTAAATGAAAGAATAAAAATGTCCATGAACATAGTATGGGGATGCTAATTAGGCTGATAGTTTACAACACTGTTAAGGGTACATATTTTCCACACAAGAAAAAATCCTAAGTTCAACCATACCAATAACGCCAGCAATACCAAAATATATATTAGTCACAAGGCCAAGTGGTGTGGGAGTTGGAGGACTGATGGATCACAGACTTATCACGTGTCCTACAGAAAAGGTATCAGCAATAAAGCCTTCATGTAACTAAGGAAAACATTCCAGAATCCAATATTATAGTATCTTGAATCTGAAGTGAAAAAAAGTCATGCTTTCAAATTTTAGTGCCAACACTTTTAAAAGGAGGGAATTCTTTTAAGTTTGTGAGTAGTATAAAGCATTTTTCATTCATACACTTCATAAATCTTCATCTTTAACCTGTTCAGTTCCAGTGATGTTATCACCTCCCGAACTAAGCTTGCATATGGTTATGGCTTAAAACAATGGATTCTGAAGCTGACTAAGCTCAGCTAACTTTCACTGGTGTGTCCACCAGGCAGAGGCAAGCATCCTTCCAAACGGAAGGACATTAGTATGGTCTCCACATCAGATGGCTAAGGGAGCAAGATCAACAACAAATGAGAACCAACCGCAGCTTCTTTGGCTTTAAACTCTTTCTCCCTCTGCAGTCGGTACTGCTCAATCTCAGCCTGAGCTTCTTCTTTTGCTTGCTTCAGCCTCCGGTTCTTTCCTGTTTTCAAAGGGAAGAGTTGCATCAGAAAGACATTATAAGATAGAAAGGAGATTTTGAAATATTTTGTTGATTTTTATCAGGAAGCAAAAAGTGCAAGGATAAGACCCTGGGGTATGAAAGGACCAAAGGGAAGAATCAGAGATTCAGTGCTGCAAGAAACCTCGGAAGTCTTCAAGTCCAGCTCTACCCAGGAAAAACAATGCTAGTATCTGAGGCAGTACCTGAACTGAGATCTTCCTGACTCCAATTCTAATCTCTTATCTACTCTAACATGCTGCCTCTCAGGGAGATGAAAAACATACAATTAGAGCCTGGCCTGGCTGATCTTTCAAGGGGACAGACATTAGGTTACATTCCTAGGAAAGGTTATGTACCTAACCCTTTCAGAAAGGTCACCAGCACTTCTTCTCCAACTCTATCATCCAACCATTCTATCACCAAGAATGATTACATCAGACTTAATTTCATAAGTTGGGTACTTGCCTTCCAAAGGTCTTTTCCAAACCACACCGAAGATGAGGCAATCAACATGATTATCTGCACTAATTCTATTCAATTTTTCAATAGGTGGAGAACTACATTAAATCATTACCAACTGCTAGTATGGCATAAACTAAGAAGATATCAATATTGTCTACAGGAACACATCCCCAAATTAATCTCCAGATACATCTAGAAAAATCAAATGATTACAAAGAAAAACAATTTTCCTTAGGCCTAACTTTCTATTATGAGAAGCCTATGTGGAACAGCACTTATTTTCAAGCCTGAAATAAACCCTAAGGTAATACTGGAGCTAGAAGTAAAAAGAAGAGAGAAAGTCTTGGCCTGTAACCATTTTCCAGAAGCAATAAAAGAGCCCAAGAGGTAAAATACTGTTTTTTTCTTAACCTGTGTTTTTATATTGTTTTATTCAATGACACTAAGTTGTCAGCTGGGAACCAGGAAATCAAGCTCAAGGTGGGAACCAGGGCTTGAACTCGGCAAAGCATCATTGATCTCCTGTCTCTGAAGACCACAGTTGTCCTTTCCCTTGGGAGTCCTTGAGTCTCTTCTAACCTTTACCAACCTGTCTCTCCTTTATTTCTGGGGTCCCTATATGTTTCAGACACTAACACAGTTACTGTTTCTCTCTCATCTTTCTGTGTTTCTTTGCCCATTGTTTTTCTTTGGCACAATTCTTTTGTCTCCAAGTTTTCACTTCTTTGTTTCCTGGTTTGCTTTTTAACTTGTGGTGGGCCCTCCTCAACTGCCTTAGCTTTTCAGTCCCTAGCTCCTTCCAGTTTATCTATGAAATTCTCAAGTCTTCTCCCTTTGCCTATCTCTAGGTATCACAAAACAACAACAAAAACCTCAGCCCCTCCTCCTCAGTTGATTTCCCCACTTCAGTTACTGGCACGATCATTCTCTTCTTAGTCATTCTGGCTTAAAACCTTAAGTCATTATAGCCTTTCTCCCTTAACAGGCCACACCCATCTGGTCACTCAAGTTCTGTCTATTCCACTTCATCAATGCCTCTTCTCACTATCCCTTCCTCTCCATTCCCAACAGAGTTCAGGCCCTCATTATCCATCATATAGGTCATCATAAACATCTTTTTTAAATGGCTTTCTCATCCTCAATCCATCCCAATACTGCTGCCAGAGTAATATGCCTAAAGTACAGATTTAAGCACCCCAACTCCAACTCAAACTTCTGAATGGATTCCACTCTCAAAGTTACCAAATACAAATCCCTTTAGCCCAGTAACAATGCCTCCCACAATCTAGCCCCAATCTACATTTCCATTTGAGCCCAATGGACTATATATACACTGGTCTCTGAAACAGGCCTGAGCCAATTCCTTAATGTCCCCATTTCCTAATCATGAAAATCCTCCACAGGCCAGCTTAAATACTATCTCTTACCTCTTGCTCTGGAATAGCAATCTTTAATTTATCCCTCTGTACCTTTCCAATGGGCAGCTAGGTGTCAAAACAAAAAGACTTTTTTCCTGAGTTTAAATCTAGCTTCAGACACTTACTAGTTGTGTGATCCTGGGCAAATCACTTAAGCCTATTTGCCTGAGTTTCCTCATCTGTCAAATGAACTGGCGAAGGAAATGGCAAATCACTTCAGTATCTTTGCCAAGAAAAACCCAAGTGGGGCCATGAAGTTGGACATGACTGAGCAATAACAACACCTTTCTGATGCTCTGATGCACTAATGAACTCACGCTCCACTTTTATTAGTTATTTGAATTTCTTACCTCTTCCATTAAAAATCCATAAGATCTTTGGGAAAAGTTGCCATTCTTTTTCAGTATATCAGAAAGCCTCTGTGGACCCTCAGCGTGTTTACTGAATGGGTAAAGTTCAGGGGCTAAGATGAAAAGAAATCTCAGCACTCCACAATGACCAAACACCAGCAAAGGGACAACAATTAGCAGGTATTTAGTTTTCAACCCATAGCTAAACGATCCAGTAATTCTAGGATTGAGTGTGGAGAGTGATTTTAGGCCTAAAGCTGGGGTGGAGAACCTGCAGTCAGTCTCAAGGCCACATGTGGCCCTCTAGGTCCTCAAGTTCCGCCCTTTGACTGAATCCAAACTTCACAGAACAAATCCCCTTAATAAAAGGATTTGTTCTGTAAAACTTGGACTCAGTCAAAAGGCCACACCCAAAGCCTAGAAGGCCACAGGTGGCCTCAAGGCTGCAGGTTTCCCATCCCTGGTCTAAAGAATGAGTTAGGGAGCAAATCTGCCCTCTAACAACTATTCCTCCTTTATATTATTCCACCATTGCACACTCCCAAGCAATTCTGAACTACAAGTAGTTAGGGACCAGAAACCAGAATTCTACCATTCAACAATGGGTAGAACAGTGGTAATTGTTTCTGCTTAAAGTCAAGCACAAAGACTCCATGATTTAATTCAGACTTCTGGATTCTTCCTCTCCCAAAATTATTCAAAGAAAATTAAAGATAATTACATAGAGTTTTAAAGTTTGGAAAGCACTTTTCCTACTTTTGAGTCTTTCAAAAACTCTGGGTACCACTGACATTATAATCCTTATACTTTACTGAAGGGGAAGCATAGGCTCAGAATGGTTAAATAATTTGAACATGATCACACAGATAAATAAGTGTTCCTGGAAGGATTTGAACCCAGGTCTTCCTGAAAGTCCTCAAAATCCAACACTATTTGACACCATGCCTTTAAAAAGAGCCCATTTGCTTGTAAGCATGCTGAAATCTCTGGTCTATGCACCTTTCCATTAGCTGTCCCCCAACTCCTAGAATGCACTCAGTCCCCGATTTAAATCAGAAAGCTCTAGCATCACCTTCTACAGAAAGCCTTTTCTGGTCCTCCCAGATGTTAATGCTCAAAATCCTCAAAACTATCTTGTATTTACTCTGCATGTATTCTGTATATAGTTATACATATATGTCTCCTCCCATTAGAATGTAAGCTCCATTAGGGCAGAGATTTTTTCACTTTTATCTTTGCATGCTCAGAACTCATCGTACAATAAGTGTTTCATAAGTGACTGGCTTACTATGTTCAAGACCCTCTGAAATACAAAGATTAAAATCTTTACCCTAAAAGACCTTACAAGCTAAAAGGGGAGTAGTATATACACACTTAAGTAGAATAGAAGGTAGAATGGTAATAAAGCCAAAGCAGAAATCCAAAATGTCACAGAAAAAAAAGTGAGCCGAGGTAGACAAGGCTTCAGGAAGGGTCAAAGACTACATTCCAGGGACCCCCCGGGAGGGGTGAGGGAGGAGTGGGCAGGACCGACAGTGGGGAAAAGTAAGTGGTTTCTCGGGTTAAGAAAGCAAGAACGTCCAGTGCCTGAAGGAGGAAAGTTTGAAATGAACCTGGAGAGGTGGAGAGAAGTTGAATTTACTTCCGCGAAGGCACCCAGCTTCCCAGTATAGAGGTCCCTCCCTAAGCCAGTTTCTCGGCTCTTCTCCCCCTCCACGGATCAGCCTTCACCTCGGACCCGCCCTACCCCGTTCCCAGGCCAGCCAAAGGGCGATAATGACGGGCAAGGGAGTGGGGGGAGGTTATCACTCCACAAGACCTGGGGGCGAAAAGGGGCCTTCGCTGCAGCTCTGACCCCAAGCTCCCCCATATCCCTCCAGCCTCGAGCCCCCCGATCCAAGTCGCCCCAAGACCTCCCCACACACCGACCCTGAGCCACAACGAACTCCGATCGGGAATTAACTTAATTCCTACCCAATCCTCCCCGTCACCCCTCAGGCCCCACAATCCCCCGCGCCCCAGGTGCCGCCGGCGCCGCCGCTCACGTTTGCGGGCCTCAGAAACCTTCTCGGCGGCGCGCTTCTCCGCCTGCAGCAGCTGCTGGATACCCTGAGACTGGCTGGCCATGGCGACTCCAACAACGCTAGGCCTCGACAGGTCCCAAACCTTCTTCCTTCACTCCTTCTTCACCAAAAGTCAGCTGACCTGCCCCGCCCCACGGTCAGGCCACGTGAGTGCCAGCGATGACGCGCCGTGCGTCCAGCGATCACGCCCCGCCCATTCTCAGCTAGGGTCAAATGATTGGCTGTTGGGTCGGGGAAGAAAAAAGATCCCTCCTCTCTCCCCCCCTCCCGGCCTTGGGCTCTTCTGGACATGCGCAAGAACTTCTCTTCCTCTCTGACATACCCCGCCCCCATCTCCCTTGACAACCTTGGAGAGGTTCCCTGGTGGAATCACAACCCGCAGGAGCTGGGAGGGGACTCTGGAGTCCTAAACCAACCCAGCCCTTAAAAAAAAAAAATTTATTCATGCCTTTTGTCTCTACATCAGTCATTTTTTCCTATCTTTGAAATTATTATTATCTTTTGATTTTGCATTACTGATCTTCGTTTGTGAATCATTTTTTCCTTCCTTACTACCCTAGCCAGTGAACCACCCCTTGTAACAATTTTTTTTAAAGAGAGGGGAAAAAAGCAATTCACAAGCAATAGAATCTGACAGTATATATAATCCTTTGTAAGAAAGAATTTAAAAGGGGGGAGGGGCAGTTAACAATGTATCTAATGTTCCTCATATAATCCTTCACCTCTGCAAAGAAGGGAAGGGTTCATGGCAGTACTGGTGGGGGGACTTAGAACAAAGAAAAATAATTAAGGAAAAATATCCAGTAGATATAGAAGTGATCACATCTGATAACGTACTACACAACAGTCTACCCTCTGCCTTGAAGAGGGTAATATTCTCTATCCTTCATTATCCAGTCACCTTTTAGAAATGAGGAAGGGAATAGGTTCATGGATTTAGAGCTGGAAGGCCTTAAGTTCCCAAGCTCCAGTGCTCTCCCCAATGCTCCCAAATTACTTGGTACTTCTTTATCGGTGTTCATGTTATGTGTTAACACGTGGCATATGTTGCATCCCAGTTCCCATGTTCTTTGCCTTGCAACACTATTGAGGCACATAGAGAAGTAACTTGCCCAAGGTCCTCAAGCATTATCAGAAGAACCGGGACTAAAACTCAGATTTCCTAACTCTGAGTCCAGTGTTCTTTTCACTTCACTCAGAGTGCTAAAGCATTTCCCTAAATACCCTGGTTCCCTTAGTGCATGTATCATGAGTCAATTTCCAAAGATTTCATTTACTCAAATACAATCCTGACGATGTCATTCCCCTCTTCAAAAACTTTGAGAATCCCCCATTGCTTTCAAGATGAAACATGAATTCTTTAGCTTGGCATTTAAGATCCTCGACTGTCAATCAGTCAACAAGACTTTATTAGGTACATACTGTGGTCCAGGCACTGTGCTAGGTGCTGGGGACACAAAAGTACAAGTGAAAGAGTCCTTGCCCTCAAGTCCTTCACATTCTATCAGAGCAAACAACATCTACATTTAGATAGATAGATACAGATATATATAGAGAGAGAGATAGGTATAGATATAGATATACACACATGTATATGTATATATATGTATTTGTATATGTACATATTACACATACATGTAAATGTAGCATGTTCTATAGACATGCTTCTAGGCAGAAAGGTAGCACAGTAGATGGAGCCCTGGGCCTGGAGTCAGGGAGACCTGAATTCAAATATGACCTCAGACACTTACTAGCAGTGTGACTTTGGGCAAATCACTTAACTTTTACTTGCCTTGATTTCCTCAACTGTAAAATGGGATAATAATAGCACCTACTTCCCAGGATTAGTTGTGAGAATCAAATAAGGTGATATTTGAAAAAACAAAACAAAACAATGCTTAGTACATATTTATTGTTGTTGAGTTGTTTTTGTTGGTATCCAACTCTATGTGACCCCTTTTGAGGTTTTCTTGGCAAAGGTATTAGAGTGGTTTGCCACTTCCTTCTCCAGCTCATTTTGCATATGAGGAAACTGAGGCAGAGTTAAGTGACTTGCCCGGGGTCACACAGGTAGCAAGTAGTTGGGGCTACACAAATACTTATTCCCCTAGGAGCAACTGTCAGCTCACATTCTCAGGTTGAGTCTCCTTGGGGGAGCACTGTCCATGGTCCAGGCACTGTGCTAAGCACTGAGCATACAAATTTTATAATCCATGCCTTGTCCTCCTGAACAGGTATTCCCACTAGCTGTCCATCATGCCTAGAATTCTCTCATTTCTCCTCTCTACCTCTCAAAATCCCTCTCTTCTACAAGGCTCAGCACAAGTGCTACTTGCAGCATGTCTTTCAAAGCCTTCCCTGGGACTCCCAAATTTAGGGCTCTTATTCTGCCCCTTAATTGTCCTTGTACCAAATTTATCTAAACTATATCCGTCCAGTGGACTATAAACTCCCTGAGGGCAGAGACTGTTTGTTTTGTAACTCTGTATCCTCCTTTGTGCCTGAGGCAGCTGTTTGTGCAGTGAAGAGAGCTCTGGGCTTGGAGTCAGAAAGAATCAATTTAAAATCCATCCTCACTAGCCTTACTAGTGTGTGACCCTGGGCAAGTCACTTAACCTCTGTTTGCCTCAGTTTCCTCAACTGTAAAAGGGGGATAAAAATAGAATCTACATCCCAGGGTTGTTTTAAAAAATCAAACAAGATAGTATTTGCAAAAAAAAAGCACAGTGCCTGGCATATATTTGGCACTATATAAATGCTTATTCCCTCCCCTTCATCCTTCTCCAGCATGTAGCACAGAGTATTTTGCCTATAGTAGACACTTAAATATCTGTTGATTTAAACAGAATTGAACTTCCTAGGGACACAGCTTTTATATAAAGTGAGGTACCCAGCACATTTCAGAGTCCTCTGCAGCTTTCTAACTAGTTATCATTTCCTTATTGTCTCTGTGGACTCTTAATTACTAACATCCTTTGGCTTATAATGAAAGTATTTGTAGACTGGGATTATATCCCTGAGTAAGTTATACTGTTAATGCTTATCAGCCACAGTCTCCTATTATGCCTTGTCCTCCCCTGAACCCAGTCACGTGTAGTTGTGATGCCATTTGTCTATTTCCAGTCTTTTTCAGGGATACAGCAGATTTCCACATATTGTGGTTTCTTCCTCAATATTTCCAGGGGTTGAAAATTATATGAACAAATACACTCATAGATGCAAGTTACAGAGAATTATGAAGTATTTTGCAGATATAAAACTAGAATGTCATTTGATCAAATTCCCTTATTTTGTAGAAGAAGAAACTGAAGATAGTGACTTTCCAAGGTCACACAAGTAATCAAGTAGCACAGAAAGGATTCAAACCCTCCCCCATATATTTATATACACACTCATTTCATTTAGAAAAGGTCAAGATATAAGAGAAGTACAATTTTTTTATTGAATTTCTTAGAGTGTGTGTCTTATTCCCGCTAACAAATGGTAAGCCCCTTGAAGTATTTGTAGGTTTAGATGCACCCTCTCTGAAGCCAGAGACCATGTCATTCACCTTCAAATGTCCTCTTCCTTTCCCTCAAATCTAGCCACAATTTATAGTTAGAAGTGACAACAATTTCTAAACATGTTCCATAATTCAAGATCCTTAGAGCTGCTGAACCTTTGTTTAGATGACTCCACTACCCGCCCCCCCAGCAGTCACTCACAAGGCCAGAAATTTAAAAAGTAGAGATCAGCAGGATCACATCCTGAATTTAACTTCAGAAACATCCTATTCTTGTATAGCTGAGATCTACTTAACTTTCTCTGAGACAGGATTATAGCATTCAGAAGGGAATTGAGCTCCCATCTAATCTAATCCCATTATTTTACAGAGGAATAAACTGAGACCCAGAGAAGTTACAGGACTTGAATTGAGATTTGAACCCAGGCCCTCTGACCCTAAACCCAGTGCTGACTCTAAGCTTGAGTTAAATATTCTCACTTGGTCACTCACTGACTGAAGATGGGGATGGTAGTTGGGGCAGGGCAGGGTGTGATCTGGATAGAGTCAAGGGAAAACCCAAGATAACATGTAGCCATCTGGAGGCCTGATCTTTACCTAGCACTGAAGGATCCTTTGAGATACTGTTGCTATGACCACCAAATCCCCAAAGTTGGATACACTGGCATTTATCCTCCTTTCCTGGTGATCTTCCTCAAGTGCTCATGCTTAAGAACAACACTGACCTTTTTATCACGGTGCTGTCTCACTGTGAGCTTATGAATTTCCCCCCCAGAGAAGTACCTGTATTATTGTCACTCTTTCCTGCTGTTCATTATGACTCGGAAAGATTTAAAACTCCTGGAGGAATTGCATTTTAGACTCTGAACATTCCTAATCCACTTAATCCCCCTTGAAGTGGCAAAAAGCAAACAGGGAAAAAAGTAGAATGAGCTTAGTTCTGTTTTCTCTGAGTCAGAAGTCGCCATTATCCTAATTCTCTCGGGAACTAAGTGGAGCTACACTAAAGTGAACAAGACCTGGACTGGACATGGGTAGTGGCAGGCCAATTTTAAGCTTGGAGGATGGCTGCCTGTTGTGATTTGAAGGAGCAGCAGGGAAGATCTCCTACATAAAGAATCATTCCCGCTGCTGCTTAGTTAGCTGTTAGACATCCATTTAAGGCATTTCCAGCTCCCAGAATCCCTTTATAAAAATTACACCTTAATGGTGGATCACACCTTAAACCCCTAAATGCTAACATTCCTTGTCAGTTACCAGTTAGTACCTTAACAGAGACTAAAGGTTATAAAAACACAAATGAGAGAGAAAGATAGAAAACAAGAAAGAGGGAAAGAGGCTGCCTAGAGAGGGAGAAGGGTCATAAAGATGAGGTGGGAAAGGTCAAAAACATACTTGCTCACCAAATAAGTCATTAAATAAGACTCAGCAAATGTATGTGGAACTGAATATAATTGAAAATAAAGGGCACTAAAGGAGATTCAGATCTGACCAAGAGTTCACTCTATAAAATACCAGAGAAGTGATCCTTTGCGTAAAAACCACAATTCTAATTGTTAGGTGGCTTTTCTTTACAGCCAAGTGAATTGCTGTGTGACCTTGGGCAAGTCACCTAATCTCTCTGAGCTC